AAATAATTTCCCAATTTGGGATTGATAAAGTGTCTGTATGTCTATTTATTTATTTTATAGATTAAAAAAACACATCTATGTATTTTCAAGCTAAAGGTGATACACAATATAAACAGCATACTGTTATTTTTTCAAAGGCATTTCAAAAGCATATATTGCTATGTTTAGGACGACGGATCAGCTTTTTACTCTCGCAAGGATCCTGGAGGGGGCCTGGGATTATGCTTATCCGGTCTACATGTGTTTTGACTTGGAGAAGGCGTATGACCGAGTTCCCAGGGTTACTGTGGGAGGTGCTGCAGGAGTATGAGGTGAGGGGGTCTCTACTCAGGGCCATCCAATCTCTGTACTCCCAAAGCGAGAGCTGTGTCCGGGTCCTCGGCAGTAAGTCGAACCAATTTCCGGTGAGGGTTGGCCTCCGCCAGGGCTGCGCTTTGTCACCAATCCTGTTTGTAATATACATCATGGATCGGATTTCGAGGCGTAGTCGTGGGGGAGGGGGTCTGCAGTTCGGTGGGCTAAGGATTGCACCACTGCTTTTTGCAGATGATGTGGATCATGGCTTCATCGGTCTGCGACCTTCAGCACTCACTGGATCGATTCACAACCGAGTGTGAAGCGGCTGGGATGAGGATCAGCACCCACATGGTTCTCAGCAGGAAACCGATGGACTGTCCACTCCAAGTAGAGAATGAGTCCTTACCCCAAGTGAAGGAGTTCAAGTATCTCGGGGTCTTGTTCTCGAGTGAGGGAACAATGGAGCGTGAGATGGGCCGGAGAATCGGAGCAGCGGGAGCGGTACTGCAGTCGCTTTACCGCACCGTTTTGACGAAAAGAGAGCTGAGCCAGAAGGCAAAGCTCTCTGTCTACCGGGCTATTTTCGTTCCTACCCTCACCTATGGTCATGAAGGATGGGTCATGACCGAAAGAACGAGATCGCGGATACAAGCGGCCGAGATGGGTTTTCTCCGCAGGGTGGCTGGTGTCTCCCTTAGGGATAAGGTGAGAAGTTCAGTCATCCGGGAGGAACTCAGAGTTGAACCGCTCCTCCTTCGCGTCGAAAGGAGCCAGTTGAGGTGGTTCGGGCACCTAGTTAGGATGCCACCTGGGCGCCTCCCTAGGGAGGTGTTCCAGGCACGTCCAGCTGGGAAGAGACCAAGGGGTAGACCTAGGACCAGGTGGAGGGATTATATCTCTTCGCTGGCCTGAGAGCGCCTTGGGATCCCCCAGTCAGAGCTGGTTGATGTCGCCAGGGAAAGGAAAGTTTGGGGCTCTCTGCTGGAACTGCTACCTCCGCGACCCGACCACGGATAAGCGGGAGAAGATGGATGGATGGATAGGACAAACAATTAATGACTCCTTTAATTTAACAAATTCTACAATATAAAAGTGGCAGATTTGCTTTATTAAACAGACCAGACCTAGGCTGCATACCAACACAATTAGGAACATGCTCACATCTTACTATGTGGGTCTGAAGAGCTGAAGCATTCATACACAATGGATACAAACTGTGTTGTCTCATTCTATATCCTGTGAGAAAATTATATACATTTAGCATTCAAAATTCGACATACTATTCCTGAGGAAGATCTGAATAATCAACAGATTTGAATGGAGTCTCTAACATTTTCATGTAGAATAAAGACAAAAGAGTGATTATACAAATTACATTTCCGGTACGTCCACACAGCAGCTTTTCAAAAATCTTGAAAATCTTGGAGCTGGGCGTGTCTGAAAGCTTGGGGATTTTTTGCGAGCAACGTGACCAACAACCAATCACATGAATCTCCCGCCCCCGACATACAAAGCAAAAAACCCCGGGGATTTTATGCGAGCAATATATATATATATAAACTCCCCAAACAGGCGAAAACCTACCAGTTTCACCCACTGTCTCTGCCACCTCCCTCCATGCCTGGTTCCTCTGGTTTGTATCCCGTTAATAGTTCTGGTCGTAAAGAACCGGGTGATTTGCTACCGTAATTTCTCGTTTGGAATATGAGGAAATGAACTGCGGTCTGGTTCTCCCTGCTTACACGCGGTTTGATTGGCTAGTGCTTCTACTGTCAGATTTGCATAAACGTGATTTGATTGGCTGACGCTTCCAGCTCAGCTTCAAAAGTTGAACATTGCTCAACTTTTGAATCCTGGAAATCCTGGAAATCTTCGCTTCGCTCCCCCACAATGCAGTTCGGCGAAAAGCGAGGCAAAGTGACGTCATCCCCATTCAAAGTCAATGGGCAGAGAAGCGTTGGAAGCGGTGGAAGATTCGTCTAAAGCTGCTGTGTGGACGTACCGTTATTGAAATTTGAACCTGAAGATGAAGTCTCAAAGAATGTTTTAAATAAAAGGACATAAAACAAAAAGCTGGATAATAATACAGTCTATTAAATGTAAAGACATTTGGTCAAATGAAATGACACTGAGCAAGTGATAACAACAACGCGTGGATGAAGCTGGTGCAGGTCTTTCTTCATGCCGCCCCTCCGTGCTGTCCCCTCAGAGGAAGTGGGGAAACGGGATAAGACTCTGGATGCCACGCTGTCTCAATGATCCACACTGTTAATATGAGAGGAAAATAAATGTTTTAGGAAATGAAGAATATGAAGTTAACAAATAAAACACAGCTCAGGGGCAGTCATGGACGGTAGGTTTTCCTACAAAGTTAACTCAGCCACCATTGATTTTCATATCAAATTAGCATGTTAATAAAATAAGCTATCATGGCTTATACTTGCATATCTAAACAGAATCATGAAAGCCTGTTGGTAGAGTCAGGCACACGAGTCCGTTTGAGTGTGTGCGCCGGTGTCTGAACGCTCACTCACTGCTAACTATGTAGCTAACTGTTAGGCTACTTAGCTTGCATTGTTATGGTTCTAAAGCTAACTTTCATAGCACAGCTTTCCTTCTCACTTAACACAATACATAAACCGTATAGTACAGCACAAACAACACAAATGATCAATACTTACATATATTTTCACTTGTAGTATTATAATAATTGAAATGCTGGTTCTTCTGGGGGTGTTCTATCCACGCTCAGCTACCGCACCGCAGCTACCTGCACTGTACAATCGCTGGAGGACTGGGCTGTCACTCAAAAACTGAGTAGCCAATCGGGACGCACCCCTGAAAGTTCCGCCCACCTGGGAGGTTTGTGTCAGAATCATCGACTGTATATATAAAGGTCAGAATCTCAAACAAAAAGTGAAGGATCGCAAATGAGAGAGCTGCAGCGAGAGCAAAAGTCTGATCATTGAGAAAGAAGAAACAAGAACTGCAAACAAAAACCTATGTTAAAACAAAGAAAAAAGACTTATAGTTTACATGATTACACACATGATTTGTTTGCAATTTATAGTTTTATTTTTTAAATGTATTTTATTTTGCTTGACTCAGTTTTTTTTTCTTTTAAACTCATAGTTTTGCTTTATTCTGAGAACGTGTTGCTTTATCTTTATGATACAAAACTAATCCCATACCTATCCTGCATGAATCGCTGAAAGGTTTGGGAAGCTTTGTTTCGTAAAAGGCTGGCAGAGGGTGTGGCCATAGCTCTGGGCGTGGCTACTGGCTATCCTACGGAGCACCCTAGGGGACATGGAGAAGAAAAAAAAATTATTTGAAAAAAAAAAAAAATTGCGAGATATTGCAAAACCTTTGCGGGATCTAGCAATACTTTTGCGAGATCTCGTTGCAGTTTGTAGACGGTCCCTAACAAGCCCCCAGGAAGTGCGCCGGAGTCTGATGAGAATATTCGTGCTGGTCAAACGGCGGTACTACACTTCGGCCCAATCCCAAACCACTCCCTCGACCTTCCCCCTCCGTGACGGAGTGAACTCCGTCTGTAGGCACACTCACAGCTGAATGAAGTTCCCTCTATTAAGGGTTAAGGGTAAAAATACAGCGGCAAGCTTTGGGACGGCCTGTCACTACCCGATCTGCAGCTCTGCCCGATCTGCAGTGCGCATGTGCGAGATGGTCCGCCATATTGGACAACTCCGGACGGCAACCCAAGTAGGACAACATTGACACAGTGGCTTTTGGCAAAGCTCAAAAATAAAACTCGAGAGAGATGAGTTATTGTTATTACAACGTGACTTCACTATTATTTAACAACTCTTTTTATTGGGTTCTTTTATTTGGGGTTAAGTACATTGTCAGAATAAGTGAGAAATGAATTTAACTTCTGTTAGACAGCTATCATACTGAATACATATTTACTGTGAATGTATGCAAAAATGTATGGCATATAGCTGTCTAACAGAAGTTAAATCCATTTCTCACTTATTCTGACAATGTACTTAACCCCAAATAAAAGAACCCAATAAAAAGAGTTGTTAAATAATAGTGAAGTCACGTTGTAATAACAATAACTCATCTCTCTCGAGTTTTCCTTTTGAGCTTTGCCAAAAGCCACTGTGTCAATGTTGTCCTACTTGGTTTGCCGTCCGGAGTTGTCCAATATGGCGGACCATCTCACACATGCGCACTGCAGATCGGGTAGTGACAGGCACTGTCACTACCCGATCTGCAGCTCTGCCCGATCAGCTCTGCCCGATCTGCTGTAACAGGAGAATGGGAATTAATTACCTTTTACTGTAAAGTTCGATGACGCACGGCGCATTTGATCTCGCTCATTTTTAGAGAGGTCTGTGTGAAATTCACCTTCAGACATGTATTCTCTCAAATTGTTGTAAAACACTAAAGTCTTCATTCTGTCAGATGCAAAAGTCTTCATTCTGTCAGATGCAATGCAAATCACCGTTTGTCACATGTAAAAACTCTGCAAATCACCGTTTGTCACATGTAAAAACTCGCGAATGCGCAATGCATATTTTGTCACATGTAAAAACTTGCGAATGGTTCAGACGGTCTAGATGTCAATTTTGTCCTACTTGGGTTGCCGTCCGGCGTTGTCCAATATGGCGGACCATCTCGCACATACGCACAGCAGATCGGGCAGAGCTGCAGATCGGGTAGTGACACGGCCTCCCCTCTCTCCGCAGGAAACGGAAACGGACGTCATGGTGTCCAACTCACATCTCCATCTGTCGGCTGCATTGACCTGCGTTGCTATCCGTCGCCTGTTAGCGGGTGCAATGGCAAGATCCAACAGAAGGCGCAGAAGGTTGAGGCGCATTTTAGCGATGTGCCAGTGGCAGGTAAACATTTCAATATTGCTAATACAACAATTATCTTCACTTTATTTCTTATATAGTAGCCTATGAACTTTGTATGTGTAATACAAATAGATATTTAGATATATTGTGATATACATTCATTTATTCTTTCCTTATAAGCTATACGTGTATATCTGTATAGTGTATGTAGAATTCCAACACAGAGAAATGTTGTCAGTAGTTTATAGAATAAAAAAGGAAAGGTTAATTTGACTTGGTCTCAGAATTGTGTGTGTGTGTGTGTGTGTGTGTGTGTTCAAAGCGCTGGAGGTCAGTCCAAGCTTTGCCCCTGACATCATTGCATGTTGTGCATTTCTGTGCATAGACATGAACGATGTCCTTGAGGATGCTGAAGCCTTCCCCCCTGAAGATGGGGACCAGAGTCCTCCCCCTGCCGCAGCATGTGGACAGGAAAGTCCTGGACACCACCTAAGGAACAGGATTGCTGCACAACTCTCTGCTCCTGTCCAAATGGCACCACACCAGAGAGCACGATTACATCGAATGAACTTTGTTTTTTTTTGGAAAAACGTGGTTGTCTGTTAACTTGTGTTTTTGAAATGATGTGCACACATACCTGATTAATTTTGTTTGTTTTAGTGAGCTCCACTTCTCACTTTAGAGAAAAGAGGTGAAATAAAATAAACCTGTGCACCGTTGATTTCAAACTTGGTTTTCCTGAATTGTCTTTCTGCATAATCCCAAATTGGAGACAAATGTCCTTACCTCTTGGATCATTCAATCACGAGCACAGAGCAAAGGTTCAGAAAATGAACACAGGTCTTCTAATACAATCACTTTAGTTTTTGAGTGAAACTCTGCAAATGGTTTGACATGAGCAATTAAGACCGTAAATATCATGTATATTTTAATGCCTTATACCTATGAAGCGCACAGACATATCTTTATTTAAAATGCTGATATTCAGGGTTAATCTTCAGACTTTGGAAAAAACACTTTAGTTCCGTGCACAACATTACTTTGTGCAAAACGTTTCCTTCTACATTATGAAACCCACACAGAACAATGTAGCCATCTAACAATCAAGCAAACGCAATGTCACCTTCATCACCCGTCTACCTGTATTTACTATAGAATATTGAAGACATGAAGGACAGTACGTTAAATTAGGTTTATTGTCTTCCAAATAAATAATACAAGCGAACAAAAACAAGTCTTTTAAGTAACATCAATAATCAAACATAGAAATGGCCAATGGTGGGGGGAAAAAAATAAATCACATTTTGTCGACCATTTTTTCGAACAGGGTTAGAAATTTCTCTGAGTGCTGCATTATTTGTCTGTGGCGTTCGTCCTCTTTTTCTGCCTCGCGTTCTAGGCACTCCAGCACTCCCATAGCACCTTTTCTTTTTTTTGGGGGGGGCTGCTGGGTGGTTCCAGCCTCAGACAGTGATGAGGGTGGTGAGGGGTCTGGATCATCAGCCACATTTGGGGGGGGGAAGGAAGAGGAGCAGGAAGTCCCTGTTCCAGTCCTTGGCCTTTTAAGTTCCTATTGCAAACAAATGCATGTTAGAAATCTTTGTTCAGCTTTTTCAAAAACAAACATGTTTTACAATAACAATACACCATTTACCTTGTATTTCTTTTTTAGGTTCTCCCATTTCTTGGAGGCCTGTTTGTGAGACACATGTTGCCCAAGGTCCAGTTCCTTAATGATTGACCTGTTATCATAGAATATTTAAACAATATATATTGGTGTTAAGGCAATGACCCACTGTGCACATTCATTACTTTCATTGCACAAAATATGAATTGAGTGCATAACTCACTCCCATGCTTCTTTGGCAGCATTGCGTTTTTTGCAGAACAGGTCATCCTTTTCCATTCTTAAAGCAATAAGTGCCTTGGTTTTTACCACAGTCCCTGAAATTACAAATCACACTTAAATTTAAACCGATTTCGTAAGTGAATGGATACATGAATTGACACATGTGTTGTTAGTTTGATTCCGATTTAGATTTGTACATCTTCAAAATAAAAATCTAATGTAATCTTGGCAAATCAAATTAACACGTGTAGATTTATAAATACATGTTCACAAAGGCATGTTTTAGTTAAGGCAACGTATTATTTATCGTTTAAAAAAATAACCACATGGAACTCACATTTGTATGACGTTGTTTCCTCCATGCCCGAAAAACGGTTGCACACCTGTGGAGTGAGATTATCAAGCCTGCATCCATGCAAACTCGCTGTCGGAGGCTTTTATAACCCACTACGCCTCCGCCCTGATTGCTTTGGACCAGCCCTCAATATGGCGGACCCTTCGCGTGAACGCGCAAACGGAGGGGTAGGGTGTAGGGGTAGGGTGTAGGGGTAGGGTGTAGGGGTAGGGTGTAGGGGGCGGTTTGGGAATGGGCCTTCCTTTAGGTTGCTGGACCCGGAAACACTTTTTTCCATTGACTTACATGGGGAAAGAGTGGTCTGTAACTCGTTGGATAATTTTTTTGAAACTAAATAAACTACCCAGTATGAACGTTTTTATAGCCCTTATTAAAAACATTCGTTCCTCAAGTTGTAAAAATGTGCTAATAACGTTATTCTGAGAGTTATTTCCCTCGGCATTATGTACGCGCATCTAACCCACGGGACTGCGCCGCCCGGCACGTTCAAGTTACGTGTTCAGTACTACATGAGTTTCTCTTTACCCATGGATGCACAATAACAACGGACCATATCGCCTTACTGCCAGCCCACGGAGCTGTAATAATGGATATATTGCACATGTTTGCTGTAATTCATCATTTGTAAAATATTATACTACATGGGCTGTATGATGTAAATCTTGTACCGTAAATGTTGTATTAAATAAAGTTAATATTACCGACGTAGATTAACGTTCCTGTAGCTTCTTATTGCACTTACAATTGTTTTAGTTACTTGTGGACTACTTAACATGAATAATCACAGTTACTATCCTTTTACTCCATCACATTTCAAAAAGAAATAGGCTATTGTTATTTTAACTCCACCACAGTAATCCATCATCAGCTTTACTTTTTAGATAAAGTTTTAACTCACAATTGATCATAACAGGCTTCAACATATACATTTTTATATATTACCAAGTGGTTTCATGTACAACCCACACAAGTATCATGCTAAATTAAGCTCTGTTGCTTGGATATCACTAGATCCTGATGTCAGCGTAATATAAAAGTACATAACGATTGATGTGTAATTGAGCATAATTTACTAGCTAGCCGCTAGCTGCTAACTTCCGCCTCGTTAATATAAATCCAGTACCATGCTGTCATGAACGCGCGGTGCTGTTACGTGTACGCAAATTCACGTGCTTAATGTGAACGAGCCTTTTGGGCGGCGTGGTTAAAGTTGCGCATGCGCTATGAGTGCACATATAGGTACTTCTCAGGCATGCCGGGTAATCTGTGACGTTTCGCTCTCTCAAAAGTTGGGCCATTTTGTCATCATGCGCTAATGAGCAACTCTCATAGGAATGAATGAGGCCCCGCCTCCCACGCTGTATCCAGTTCTTATCAGAGGTGGGACCAAGTCATTGTTTTGCAAGTCCGAGTCAAGTCTCAAGTCTTTGCGCTCAAGTCCGAGTCAAGTCTCAAGTCATTGTTTTGCAAGTCCAAGTCAAGTCTCAAGTCAGGATGGGCAAGTTCAAGTCAAGTCAAGTCCTAAACTTTGACAAAACGAGTCATAAACAAGTCATTATGTGTTTTTCACCAAATGTAATGACATCGATCAACAGAATAATACTTCATAATCAAATTGCTCTTTATTAGTCACATTAATAATTTAATAATCCATTTTCTCTCTGCTGGTAAAGTAACGTGTGTTTTTCTAATTTAAGAGGGATCAGTAAGGTAAGGCTACCGTGACGGTTTGATTCAGAAGGAGTTTAATGGATAAGATCCCTGATGTTGAGGTAACCAGAATGTTTATTTCCACTGTGTACAACATGTTATAAGGGACCCACAATCTATCTTTATGCAAGGGATAATGTGCAGCGAGGCGGTCTCTATGGGGAAAAGAACACCTGAATCTAGATCCCTCTGCAGGTGGTACTTTAAGTATATTTTGATGCTAATACTTTTGTACTTTTACTTGTAACATTTTGAATGCAGGACTTTTTATTGTACAGGGTTCCTGCAGGTTTCGCCAACTCAAATGTAAGACTTTTTAACACCTTTTTAAGACCACTTTGAATAGAATTTAATACCTATTTCACGGCAATAAAGTATGAAGGAAAATGTATATAAAGAAGAAATACGTCCCATAATCACTTACAAAGTAAATGTATTCATGTTCAACATAAGAACAATGACTGAACACAACAGCGTAACAGTACAGAACTGTGTTAGCGTGTTAGACAAAAAGTGTGTATGTGTGTGCGTCTGTGTGTTAGGGCTGTGCAATTAATCATATTGTAATCGCAATTACGATTTTGGCCTGCCACAATTACGAAAACAACATAATCGGAAAAAACGATTATTTTGCTTTGCTAGGTTGTGACAGTGCACCACAACATATTTGATCTAATGAATTTTTTAGTAATGTATCATTTATTTAATTAATTTTTGTATTAGTTTTTCAGTTGAATTATACGTTCAGGGTAATCAACAGTTAAAAATATACTGTTCAAATTATTATTTGTTTTAAAGTTCAATAAATGGATGTTTTCAAAGTCAATGAATAATCATATTTAATAATCGTGATATTAATTATTGACCAACATAATCTTGATTATTGCCATAATCGAGCAGCCCTAGTGTGTGTGTGTGTGTGTGTGTGTGTGTGTGTGTGTGTGTGTGTGTGTGTGTGTGTGTGTGTGTGTGTGTGTGTGTGTGTGTGTGTGTCTCTGAGAGAGAGTGAGCTATATTCAGAGCTCTGCTGCCTTGGCTACACTATTTCATCGTTGCTGTTGTATGATTGGTGTTTAGCTACGTTATTTAGCGTCTACAGCACCTCCGCTTTTAGGGTTGACGTAGACCCAAACTTCGCCCAGAGGTCCCCCGGTGTTGTTGCGGCAGCTGCTGCACTAGCTAACACTCCACTAGCTAACGCTACATTAGCAAAACAAACGCTAATTTATTTTGCAAAAGGTGCAGCGGGCTTCAAACACGTTCCCTCCACTGGTTTCAACCAAGCACTAAATTAGATGTTTTCCAACAAAATACGGTTGAACTGACACTTCCCCATATTTATTTGTAAGTAGATTCGAAGATAGGCTACATGAGCTGAAGCTTGGTTGCTAGGTTACTAGCTGGGTGTTCTCCAATAAGGGGCCGGGGGAAACAAAGTTAGTGATTACTGGTTCCATGTTGATTTAATTCAATACAAATTGTTGGGGGGAACTGAAAGGCTATTACCGTACTGGTTACTTTGCAGCCCGGACATTTCCCCCAAAACACATTTAGACGCTATCGCAACATAGAAGTATCTTTCAAATCCGATAATTTTTAAGATCTTCTGAATCATATTTAAGACCTTTTTAAGGCCTTAAAAACCCTGCTCTGAAGGTTATTTTCATTTTACAAATCCTGCACTCAGCTTTGCTTTCTCCAATATCATTGAAAAGCAGCCAGATGCTGCTTCTTTTTTCGGTTTTTGCTCATTTCTTGACTTTTTCCGACGCGCTTGCATTTAAATCCGTCTCCCCGTCGCTCTGTGCAGCTGGCCTGTACCACTACACATGCTGTGCCCCCCACCCTTCTTTCACATAATGGTATGATCTTAGTGTGTCCTCGCATATGATTGGCCGCTTGGTGGGCCAGCTAAATAAAGACCCGCCCCTGCCTGCAAGGATTCTCAGCAAGAGTAGGAGCGGCTGAAGATTCTGCTCTCCACGACGGGAGTCTGCTCTTCTAGCGGCAGCTCGCGATCGGCGTGTTGGAGACCTCTGAATTAAAGTAGCAAGTCACCTCAAGTCAGAAGGCTCAAGTCCAAGTCAAGTCCCGAGTCATTGGTGTTCAAGTCCAAGTCGAGTCGCAAGTCTTTTGTGATGTTGTCAAGTCGAGTCTCAAGTCATAAAATGTGTGACTCGAGTCTGACTCGAGTCCAAGTCATGTGACTCGAGTCCACACCTCTGGTTCTTATTATACATCCATGGTCCCTAAGCACTCCTCTCTCTCCTCCAGCTGCAGATTGTGGCCAATTCTTGAAGTTTAGCTCGGATGACGGCGCGTATCGAACTGTTCTGATAAAAAAAACTAATCTGTAGCTCGTTGTTTACCTTGCTATGATTGTAAAGTCATGTTGTTTGTATTTTTACAACGTTATGTTCATGAGTTATTGATCCGCAAAATTCGAATCTGTCAATAACTCAGCTCAGAGTATGCTTTGCATATATATCCCTCGCTCTGAGTGTTCTCTTGAGGTGTCTTTCACTTATGTGAAACCTGTGCCTATTGCCAAGCACTGATGTTATATCTTTATATTTAAGGCCATGCTCAAAGCAAAATTGATGAACCGCTCCATTGTTGTGGTTTATGTGTTGCTGAACTGACCAGGAAGTACATTGAGCTAAATGAAACGTTTTGCGAGATCTCGCAAAACATTATTATTATTTTTTTTTTTCAAATAATTTGTTTTCTTCTTCTCCATGTCCCCTAGGGGGCTCCGTAATATCCCTACACCCAGGAAGACAATGAGAAATCTCCAACGAGGCGTTTTGGGGAGGTATTTTCTGTGTTAAGAGTTTTACTCGCAGGTTGTACTTTCAGGGTTTGTGACTCTGCAGACCGTTTACATGCATAAAAACCTTCATAACACACAAGGGGATGGGTAATAACCGGAAAAGCATGACATGGGACCTTTACGTTTTTTGATCAACGAAGGACAATGCCTGCATTCTCATTTCCATTATAAGAACAATTTCCTTCACAATTCAGAAGTCTTGGGACACTTGAGAAATTGAACACAATGAACAAAATTACATGACAGCATCTGTGAATGTAACTCTGTACATTTACTTGTACATAGCTTTATACTTCCAATCACTTATTTTATTGATCCTTTTACTTCATTATATTTATACAGTATCATACTAGAGTTATCGCTGCTGTTTTTTGTAATGTATTGGTATTTGTTTTGGTTTAACCAATAATTATATAAATAGGCCTACTTCTTTCTTAGTGGGACAGTCATTCCTTCACAGTTCTATAGACTTTTCATAGTATTAATAGTTGTCTGTGTTATCTATGCTCACACTATGCCGATGTTGGAAATAATTAAATCTTTAAATAACAAAACCCTTGCATTGTTCTAGATTGTTCAACACTTTGGAAAAGAAAACTGCAAAGAAGGAGAAAAGTCACTAATATAAAATATAAATGCTATAGCCTACTAGTGGTGAACTCTTTAAATCCTTTAATTCTTGATTTGGCTCTGAAATGGTCTCTTTGAGTCACAGTATTTGCTTTATAGTGACATGACTTTAAAAAGTATTAATAAATGAACATTTCAATATTCTACATGTGTTATAGACAATTAATTAATATTTAAATGTGTCTTTGAAATAGTATGTCTACACCAAGTTTGTATAGATGTTATTATCAGCACATACTATATTCACTCATTATACAGATATATAAACAGAATCAGTGAATGAAGTCGTGATGAAGTCACTCAAGGATTATTGGGGTTACATTGGATTATTCTGTAGTTATATAAAGCAGCTGCATGGGATTGGTGGCTGGAGCCGAGCATGCGCAGAGCGTCTCCTCGCATTTATTAACACAAGAAATCACAAGCGTATTGACGGAGTTTAAAGTGCAGAGTGAGAGTTTTTAAGGAAAGGAAAGCGTCCTGTGAAGAATCAAGGTGAGTTTATGTTTTTTCCGCGGTTCGGCTCGGTTCGGCCCGTCTCTGTGTGAGTGTGAGAGGGGGGTGTGTGTGCTTTGTTTATTCTCTGTGCGCTGTAAATGGAATTAGGATAGAAAGGAGGACGCTGCATCATGGAGTGTATTCAGCAGCAGTTCGTGTTAAAGCAGTTCTCTGCATGTAAGTGCTTCAGGCCGCCGCTCTGGAAGTTTCTCCGGCCGCACGCACTGAGCTGCCGGCCAAAAACTGAACATTATCCCGGCCGTTTTATCGGGAACAAAATGTTCCTCCACCCGAACGTGAAGCTATACCTGCGCACAGACCCTTAACATAATGCCGTCAACAAGTTATATTTTAACATTTGTATTCATTCTTTCGTCATGATTTTGGACAACTTTTGTTGCCTTTTAATTTTATTTGTGGACATTTGTAACAACTGAAGTTGATTATTTGCGTGTTTTCACTCTTGTAAAAAAACAGAATGGTACAGACTTGCAGCATGAGTGTTGAGTCTGCATTTTCATTTAAATGTGATGCTGAAGTATTTGCTGCTGGGACAACAGAGGAGTCTTCATCACTCACTCCGAGCTTAGAGTACACACCACACACCCACCACCAACACACACACACACACACACACACACACACACACACACACACACACACACACACACGCACGCACGCACGCGCGCGCGCCACAGTCACAACCACCGTCCTCTGGAACTCCTTGTACCCTTTTTAGTTTCGCGCGGTTTTAGATGCTCGTCGGGCTGATCGTTAATGAGATAAAGTGCACACTCAGCACTTGTGATTGAAGTTCTATCTGATGTAAAGGTTTTACCAACACATTTCTCCCGGCCTGTAACATGCAAGTCTGCTTTGTGCATATTATTAACTGAAGAAGAATGAGCCATACAGTGTAGACATTGTGTTTGGAATATGTGTGTGTCTGTGGACAGGCCCGTACCCAGGATTTCTTAATACCGAGGTCCAAAACATGCTAGGGGAGCTCGTGGGCAGGCCCCCCACAAAAGCATTTTACTCTGGGCTCAGCAGGTGAGAAACTAAAGAGGGGCTTCCACATGTGGCAGGCCAGGTGTTGGTGCTGCCGGATTTGGCACCCCCACTATAACTTTGTCCAAAATAGTCGTACTGTCACCAAAATCACACTGGTGTTTGCTGTTCACCTGTAGTTTGTGCACACAAAAGCGTTTTACTCTGGGCAAAAAGCATTACATCATTATTTACACAACACGAAAATAACTTAATGTAAAGTATTTATTTCACCTTCCCTTATTATACATCCATGGGTACAAGTCCGGACTGTGGCTGTTTGTTGATAAATTGATGTTGTCTTCTTCTGTTTGCTTTAATGTAGGCTACTTAGTTGTGCATTGCCCCCACCGCCAGTAAATGGAAGTACTACAAAGAACCCTGTTAATTATGTGAAGTTATTTCACACGTTTTATTATATACACCTCAAAATTATTTGACCTCAATGGTGGGTACGGCCATGTCTGTGTGTGTCAAAGCCTCAGAACCTTTTTCAATGTGCACCTTTTACTTTTACAGTTGTATCCTAAGCAGAAAGGATGTTGATGCCGCACAGGTTAAAGGCCAAACTGCTCAGTTAGGAATCCCCTCTGCAAACAGGAAACAAAAAACTAAAACAGTTAAAGAGTCACTGAAATGAACAAATAGTCAACATCCCCTACTCCTTTCTTAGGATAATACCCTCCCCTTTAACTGTAGTCAGGGTGAAACCTTTATATGTCACATGTTAGTGAAGAGTTGAGTTTTGTTTAGATTTACAATCTGTACAAAGGCAGTGAATTGTTTGAGAATTGAGTCTGAGTGAGTATGTCCCTCTGCCTAATGAGCCTTAAATCACTTTATATATCTTGGAAACTCCAATCTGTTCTTTCACTAGAACTAATGTCTTGTTTTGTCAAATGTATGTCCATCTTTTTTAAATCTATGTGCACACCCGACATGGGCAGATGACAAAAAGGGCCAAAGGGAAAATTAACCATTGCATCCGTGATCAATCATCGCCAATCATGGTATGTGATACTTTCAGTATTTGAGGATCAGTTACTGCCTTTACAGAAACTGGTTTACATTTTATATAAAGGAATAGAGCGGTGCAGTGATGACATATTTTTTAGGCCGACCTGGAAATTAGCATCGCAAGGGATCCCTCAACAAAGGCAATGGGACTTTTTCCATAGGATTTCATATTGCAGTTAGACTATATTGTATTATAGTCTCCTAAGACAGCAACCACTTTTTGTATCACACATAGGAGCTTCAGATATTTACCAGTGGGGTGTTCACTGGCTTGTTTAATGTTGTAGAACAAAACTTGATAATCTCTTCAGACTTTATTTCAGGCTTCTAAACACAAACGCATTCAAAAAAACATTGTCTCCAAAGGTAACCGGAAGTGGTCAAATGCAACATTATTGCACCAATCAATTCACATTATATGCTATCATAGTCAGTTACATAATAATTTAGCACTTTAACCATACATTGACCAGCTTTATGGTTTCTACCTAACATCTTGATAGTGTTGGGCGTGTTGCCCACTGTAGAAATTGTTATTATACAGTCTGGGTTATGGGTACATTCTTGGTATTGTCCTCTTCCTTGCCTGAGGGAGCACTGGGCCTGCTTTCAGCATCTATCTACACACACACACACACACACACACACACACACACACACACACACACACACACACACACACACACACACACACACACACACACACACACACACACACACACACACACACACACACACACACACACACACACACACACACACACACACACACACACACACACACACACACACACACACACACACACACAGACAGACAGACTGGACTTTCTGCTTGGCCGGGGATGCTCAGTGACAGTGTGTTTTTGTGCGTGTGTGTGTGTGTGTGTGTCAGTAGGCACAGCAAGATAGCATACATACTGGATGTGGGTGTGTACATGTGGCCTCTGTTGGATTTTTATTAAATACATTTGGCTACTCTCCTTCACATATATAAAATGAAACATTTTAAAACAGCTTGCATTTATGTCCCAGAATATCTCAATGTGGTCAGCTTAAAACTAGCACCGTATTGTTAGCTGTTCAATTTAGAATCTGCCAGTGTGTAAGAGTTAAGTTATGTGTGTGTGCCAATCACATCAATCTTTGGGTTAACGTTTCATATCCATCCTTGTTGCCGTTATTTGTATTTGCCAGTATAAAGATTTTTTTAGTCCCTGTTGCAGCTGTTCCAGCAAAACGGGAACAAAACGCAAAAAGTGTGTCTTCATACATCGATGATCCCAAAAAATGAACTGCAGATCATCTTGTGATGGGATGGCACCAGCAGCTACACTGTGCACATAAAGTAGATCGTAGAATACAGCCTTCTTACAAACTCTACCGTCATTTGGTCTCAACTGCACACCTTTAAAGGGGTATGTCAATGGTCTTCAAAGGCTAACATCCCTGTGTTTCTCTCCCACAAATGAAATGATGTATCAATTAGAATCACATATTCACACATCAGTGTGCATTTAAAAGTTCATAGCCAACTCCTGTTCTCTGTATGGATATCAGGACAGCTCAGAACAGAGGTTTGTGGATGATTCAGTGGTATTCAAACAATCCCACACACACTGGACCTTCTGCTTGGCTGGTCATGCTAAAGATGACAGTGTGTAAGGGTGACAGTACAGGGGGATGTTAATGTGTCGGGATGGATGCTACTTTTATTGAAGCACCCTATATGTTTGTTGAAAGGAATATGTTATTTTGCTAACTTTATATTTGTACTTTGGGGTTGAACAATGGGTCCATTCTTGCAAGCTCTCTGTGTGAGATTGGTGAGGTGTTGCGTTTAGGTTGTTTAGATGTTGTTGAGAGACATGTGTAGGCATTGACAATGCCCCCCCCCCTCAGTTTACATGCTGACTCGTTCTGCAGAGAGCTTGCGCTAAATCATTATGTTATTTTTGAGTTGTACATAAACAGTTTGAGTGGAATAAGGCCCAAAAAATGTGATGTGTTAGTTTAAATTAAAATCTACAATTCACTTTACTGCTGACATACGCAACCCAGTGCTTGTCCTACAACAATGAACATGTGTTCAACATGGAGGGAAAGTTTGAATGAGACTCTGTGTTCATGTATGTGTCTGCAGACAGCTGTTGGAGCCTGGGTGTGTGTGTGTGTGTGTGTGTGTGTGTGTGTGTGTGTGGTGTGTGTGTGTGTGTGTGTGTGTGTGTTAATGGTATGTTCCCCCAGCTCCACTCTGCAACCCCCTGAAGCTATCACAGTTGTTTACCCTCTTTGCTTCTGACTACACTACAGCATGCTAGTATTGCATAACTCCAAACTACCCTGCAGTAATGGATGCAAAGTGTGTGTGTGTGTGTGTGTGTGTGTGTGTGTGTGTGTGTGTGTGTGTGTGTGTGTGTGTGTGTGTGTGTGGAAGCTAGTCAGGCTGGTTTAGTCTTTGCCTGTTACACATCATTCATTGTAGTATGAGTGGATTAGTGGTGTCACATGTGTAGCTGTCTGTCTAACTCTGAGGGTCAAACAGTTTATACTCTGAAATATATATTTGCTGTATTTATTAAGCCCCCTTGAAATACTTCAAGGGGGCTTAATTGAAATACTTCAAATCCAAATTCATGTAAAATAATCAACAAAGAAATCAAGCTATAACAGTTATCCATCTATGCCAGGGCTTCTCAAACTGCCAGACCAAGGTCCAGATCCGGACCGAATTGCAAATCAATCCGGACCGAACCCTGTGTCCCATTATAAAAAAGAAAGAAAATAATTTCTGATTCTGATTAAAGTGGACCTATTATGCTATATTTGAAAAATATATTGTAGGGCCATACCTATACAAAACATGTCTGTGACGTTTTTTGCTTAAAATACCAAACAGTTCACCCATTGTAGCCATGCCTCATACTGCTCATACCCCTCTATTGCAGCCCTGTTAGAGAAACGTGGATTTTGGGTCCTTAGCTTTAAAAAAAAAAAAAAAAAGAGGAGTCGGAGCTAATGCCTGATCAGAATTATACCGGAGATAAAGTAAAATTCTGCTGTGATAAAACGCCATCCTGTTTAAACTACGTCAAGGATTATTTCTGAAACAGCATGGAGCTCAAATGCTTTTTCTCTTGCGGGTTTATCACAAGGTGAGTTCCTTTTTTTATTTACTGCTTTTTAAACACATGTGCTCTACAGTACAGGTTAGCTCTGAGTGTTAGCGAGGCTTGCTAGCAATCTTCTGTGGGTCCGCTGCCGATTTTACGTCAGATTGGCAGCAAATCTGTATCCGCTCGTTGTACCCCTGTTTTTAAAAGATTTGGGTACGGAGGAAAAGAGAGAGGGTTTTATTTTCTGACGCTGCGTGAGTTGCCCGACGCACCGGGGCCACATATTTATGTATAAAAGACATCACAAAGTGCATTTTGCATGATAGGTATCCTTTAATGTATATTTTCTTGTGTCTGACGCGTTGTGAGAATGAACGTACATATATATTTATTTGTGTGCGCGAGCGTGACACGCATTGCAGACCGCAAGTTAACCGCAAGTTTACCTTGACTTTCTAATGCTTCTAATGCCTTTTTTGCCGAGGTTCAAGGCATTGGCTACAGACAAACAGTGCCATTTCTCCCACTAGTTCAAGCCAACATACTGTATGTATGTATTGAATGTGTGTGTGTATACAGGGGCGCCGTTTACCGACAGGCAAGTGCTTGGACCAGAAGGGGGCCCCCAAATAAAGTAGATTAATCCAATCCAACTTTATTTATATAGCACTTTAAAACCTCCAGACCAAAGTGCTGTACAGAGAGATACATAACATATAAAACCACACAGCTCAGCTCACAAAACATACAATGAATTAATACATTTAAAATAAAAGATACAAACACAAAACAAACCAGAATAAATGTAACAATTTCAAAATTAAATTTTCTTTTTAAAAAAAAACAAAAAAAGATTAAGAAGGTCCACAGCAACAACAACATGAAACACCCTTTAATTTACTGCAACGACATGTCGGGAAACCCCCTCAAGGGGGCCCCATGCCAGAGGTTGCGCTAAACTTTTTCACTGCCCGTCATTGTGACGGACAGGATCGTAACATTTCCGTCAAAACTAAATTCAGTATTACCCCTCGGCCTTTACACTCTGGGGGGAGGGGGGGGGGAGAGAGATAACTGTTTCGTTGCTCCGCTCCGGGGGTGGGGGGGGACTTTACTGGCATTGATCCGGACAAAAAAGTTTGACTACCCCTGATCTATGCAAAAGATCTCACGGGTTTGATTTTATACCCTAAATCAGGGATGGGCAAAATGGCGGCCCGGGGGCCCCCACCTCTTATTTTTGCGGCCCTCAGATTAATTTATAAATAACGTAATTAATTAAAATATATATTTAAATGTTTTTACTTGTAGTACATCCACTAGACTCCTAGTTACATCGCGAGCTGCGTACATGATTTTGTTTGGCAGCCAAATACCGCAAAATAATCTGTGACGCATTTGTGTGTATTGTGTTTGTTTCCTGGGGAAACACTCACAAGAAACACCGGCTGTTGTTATGCCTGCTGTGACGTTAAGTTACCGCTTGTAATTATGCCTTTACAAGCTTCAAAGTTGTATTTATCATCTGAATTTGGCGAAACAAGTTTAATATTCTAAAAATCAAGACTTTGTTTATTTGAAATCAGATGAAAACAAACTGTCACCGACCCTGCCGTGTTATCTATGATTACTATACACGTACATTCATAATTTCAGTGGGAGGGAGGGGGAGCGGCGCTGTGGAACAGCAGATTTGGTTGGCAGGTGTCTGTGTTGACATTCCCCTCATTGTGGAATAAGGGGAATGCAGAGACAGGCTACAAGTGTCTTAGGTTCAAGTCAGACAACTAATGTCTGGGGTAGTGTTCATGACTTCATGTGTATGTCATCTTAATGGTTAATCTGAATGCACACACACTTTCCGTGCTTTCCAATAGTTTAAAATAGTTTTATTCCACTGTTAAATAACCTGTTCAATACAAACATGCCACTTGTAAAAATGAAATAAGATTTCGTGAACTGATTTGTTTAGTGAGCTTATTAGAGGATGTTCCCTGAAAGATTGTAAAATGTGAATGAAGATGTCCGACTTAGTATATTTGTTAATAATTACATACAATACATGGAATTTGTGTGTGTGTTCCAAGTGAATCTGCGGCCCCCTGGTGGCCAGTACATACATTATGTGGTCCCCACCACCATCAAAGTTGCCCATCCCTGCCCTAAATACTTAAACAACCTTCAAAGTGTTTAATTGCACAATAAGTATTGAATGACTTGTTGGAGCACGCTGATTGGCAAATACTCAGACAGTGCAGATGCATTGAACACAGCACAGGCACGACACATTGACTCTACTTGACATACTAGCAGGCTTGGGGAGTAATTGATCACAATAACGGGATTATGTTATCACGATACAAAAAAAGGTAACTGTATTACCTTTCAGTTGTACTAAAATGGAGCATTTTCTGTCAGCTCAGATTCTATTTCTGCTTTTTTAAACTGTAGTATTTGCTCATGTGTTTCAGTGTTGGTGTAGACTAGAATATGCTGAGTGAAAGGCAGCTTTTCCCATACGTAAAATCATGTTTGATGATAAGTATCTTGGTTTTCTTATTTTCAATTAACCTAAATAAAAACCTTCTTATTGTTGTATTTTATTTATTTGCATTGCATTTGATAACAAGGTAATCCAAAAGTCACAAAACAGATTCATGTTCCACTACTTTTATATTTTGATACTAAGATAAGGTTACTGATAACATTCTTTTACGGATTACTAGTAATTGTAACGGAATAATTATTTTTCTCAAGTTACAAACTGCATATTAGCAACGTTATCTCCATTCTTTGTCAGTCAATCTTAATGAATCAAACGGTCTATTCATAATAACTAGTAAGCAGAAACTAAAGTTGATTTCTTATTCTAACTAAAGCTACATTTTGAAAGTGAGTCTCAGTTAATGAGCATGAGGTCACTGAGGATTATCCGCATTAGTTGTGGCAGGTTAAGTTCAGGTGCATGACTCCTGCTGGCTCAGAGGCATGTGCAGGGGTCGGGGGGGGATGTGGTGTTACACTGAAATTGTACTTAATTAAAGTCAACGTTCCCGTTTTGTCAGTGTATCTGGTGGTGTAAGGACACCAATGTGAGTAGAGATTTAGTTCGATCATTTCTAATAAAGGGCTGGTGATGATTTAGAAAAATCGTTAATGACTGCATAAGGAAGCAATCAGTTACGAGTTATAACAAGCACTGCTTTATTACACATGATACTGTGGAAATGTCTGACGGAGAAATATGTCCTGTTTGAGCAATGTTTGATCAAAACTAAGGCCAACAGGTGTTTTTGGAAATTATTTTACAATTATATGTATGAAATAACATAATCGTGAGCTGTTGTTGTCAGTAGTACTTTGACGAGAGAAATCAACAATATTAAATATTAATATTCCAATATCAAACTTTTCATTACTGCCTTATCACTCAGTACACACACCAGAATTGGTAGTTTAACTTCCTTCCTTTCTGCCACGGATTTTTCTAGATAGATTAAGTATGATATCAAATTCAAAGGGGCTTTATTGGCATGAAAGTTGAACAAAACGATGTTGCCAAAGGATCAAAATACAAATTAATTAACATACATTTCAAATGTACATATTATTGATATATATATATATATATATATATATATATATATACAGTGATACAATTACACTTCAACACATGGGCTATCATCTCTCCTCATCTTTCACATCAAAGTGTTGTGCACCGCCAAATGTGTTAATCAGTCATGTTTCATGTTTATTTTGTATTGTTTTTCACTTCCTGTTTTGTTTTTGTCACGTCTCACTTCAGGTCCCTTGACTCCCTTTCCTTATGTGTTCTCCCGCCCTCATCAGCGTCAGCCCCGCCCCTGATTGTTTTCACCTGTGTCTTGTTGTTGAGTGTTTAAATCCCCCAGTCTCCCAGTGTTCAGTGTCAGTTCGTCTTGTCCTGTCCTCATGCCAGAGCTCTGCTCTTCAGCGTTTGCTCGTTTGATTCAAGCCTATTTTTGAAACTTATTATAAGTTTAGTTCCTCACGTTGTGAGCGATTTTCTGTTGTACCTTGTTTAAGCCTTTTTCGTCATCTCGTAAGAGTGATTTTCTTTTGTTACCTTTTTGTACAAATAAAGTATATTAAATATACTTTACCTTTGGCTCCCGGGTCGTGCATTTGAGTCCTTATCCTTGTGTAACCAAGTTCTTAAAACAAAGTTGAAGATCATACTGTTTTCCTGCTTTATTCAAAGGCTTCCTTCAATCCCTATCAGATTTTAGTTAACATAAAATTGAAGAATTACCATTTCCCCTTCTTTTGAACAAGAATGAGATAAGTTTAACAACTTCCTGTTCTAGTTCTGAAGCCTTTTAAGCAGCTCTTCTCACTCGTGTGTATATTGTGTTGTGTGTTGTAGGGATGAAGTTCCCTGTGGATCTCCTGGCTGGTGTCAGCCAATCAGAGGTGGAGCAGTCGGCCCACGCCTACATGAACAGCCTCCTCTACAGCGACCCTGACTGTCCTGACCAGCTCCGCCTCTCTGACTCCACCCAGGTAAACACTGCCCCTTGACTGGACCAGAGGGCTGTCAGTCAAACACACGTCCCCTCAGTAAGGGATGGTTTTCTGATGGACAGGCTCAAAGAACATTTAGTCACGTATTAGAGGCACTTGTACTTAAATATTTTTATTTTAGGCTACTTACTAGTCCACTTCAAGTTACTAGTTACTTTACAGAATTAGATTGTAAAAAATATTTATAATTAAAACTGCGGTCGCACATGTGCGCGCAGTGATGAGCGGGCCCTCGCGTCCGTGCGCCTGTCGGGGAGGGCAGCCGGTCGTCCCGGCGTCAAGCAGATGCGCGCGAGTCCTCGGAAATGAGCCGTTTGTCTTTTCTCAAATTTTCGCGTCCCAGGTCCTCCGGCAGCGACCCGGAAACGGATGTCGGCGCGCCGTCTCGAAGGAAAACACATTTCTCTAAAGGGTCGTCGAGGATTGATTATCGAGGAGGCTGTCTGGAGGAGCCGTAACCGAGGATACACTGATTTAGAGGAGAGAGGAGTCTCTCTAGAGGAGCCGTAACCGAGGATACACTTATTTAGAGGAGAGAGGAGTCTCTCTGGAGGAGCCGTAACCGAGGATACACTTATTTAGAGGAGAGAGGAGTCTCTCTGGAGGGGCTATAACCGAGGGTACACTGATGCAGAGGAGAGAGGAGTCTCTCTGGAGGAGCTATAACCGAGGGTACACTGATGTATTCTCCAGAGACGATTTCAGCCAACAGTGATGTTTAAAAGAGGTGTGACGCATGGCTGGACTTCTGTCAACGAAGCACAGCTCTGCAAACTGTTCCCGTTGTGATTATAAGTTATTTAAGATGATCAAATGTGCATCAGACTTTCTGCCCTTTGTAGAGGAAACTTCTGTGTAGCTATGCAGTGGGAGTCACCGACTCAGGAAGGAGACACGGTAGGAGCAGTAGCTTTGATGTCAAACACTGGTGGTTTATTTGGAGTTAACGGCCGGAGGATTCACATCACAAGTCCAAGAGTCAGAGGTTCTGACTTCACGGTAGAGTTGCCACATCAATTCTGGAGAGCCTCTCTCTTGCCAGCCCATCTAACTGGTTTCGCAGAGAGTAAACAACATATTTGAGAAGATAGCCTAAACAGTGTGGGAACACTGAGTTACTTGCGTCGGACACTTATGACCTCGAAGATTTCACACCTTGGAGTCCACAAATACAGAGAAGGAAGTGTCCCAGTGTACCCACAACACAGACCATCTGTGACCCAGTATTGCCCGGTCACAGAATGGGAACAATAACATTATTGGCTGAAGCAGCCTGTGTCCTTAAAGGAGGTAAACAGACATCAAGGTTTGTCCTGTATGTCACATCTTGGCGTCTATGACAATGATTTCCCTAACGGTCCACTCTTTTTATCATTTATGATAACCTAAAAATATTAGTCTAATAATAATTTGGTCAATAATTAACTCAATAGGCGTCTCCAGATTCGAGTGTGGTCTCACCTTACATTAATTACATCACAAAGTAGAATAAGATTGAAACATTCAATCACAATGATTGATACAGCCAATCATAATAGGAAAAAATCATCTCTCATCAGTGTTTGATCATCTTTTGTCAAAAGCATAATAATGAACACACATAAAACACAGGTGCACAATAGCTAAATATTTGTTTTTAAACTAATATCTTTTATCATTTACCATTAGTTAATTTCATTCATCAAACTATAAAATCAAAACCAGCTTGCCGCTTTAAAGATTTACTTCAAGGCAATCACTAGTCAAAAGCATTTTAAAACTCAGGATCGTAAGAGATCCAGCTAAACATTCACAGTTAGAGTATAGAATTCACACTGGTGATTTGATCAATCTGTAATCTGCAAAAGTGCAGTGTCCTCAATTTTAGGATTACTTTTACGTTTACTTAAATACACATTAGTCAAGAGTAAGGCACTTAGTCAAATCAATACATTCATTTTAGTCAAGTACATTGTTCAAAATCTGAAAAGGAAAAGTTAGGCAAATATTCAAAGACTTTTGTAAAAACCTGGAAAGGAAGGATTAAACATTTTTAAACCTTGAATTATTACATTTGTGAATGCTACCACTGATCTGTACCAAATTAAGTCTATCAATTATTCCTATTAGCCATACTTACCTGAGCTACTTATGGTACTTGGAAAGGATTCTTCTGTGTTTATCTAATGTTGAATGTATAATATCAATTTCTTTAAATTATACTTCTCTAATTTGAGGATCAAATATGCTACATAATTGTTATATGAAATATTATAAATATTAGTTTTGGGCCAAAACTGAAATTAATCCAGTACTTGAAACATCATTGTAGGTCTTTCCGTGCATGAATAATACATTAAAGAGTAGTGTTGTTAAGTCTGATTGCTGGACGATTAAGGATATTAACATTATCTGTGATAATAGTAGAAATATCTTATGATTCAATACTTTATAATCTGAATTAATTTTGTTTAGTGCGAAAGTGTAATCTGATCCGGCAAAAATATATTAATCACCACTATTCAACACATGTCTGGTCCTTGGAAATATAAAGACAGTCATTAATTGTACATCTGTAAACATCCAAGATATAAAATCAATTCAAAGTTCATCTTTGTACGAGAGCTGGAAAAACATGTCCTTCAGTCTTTCTGACTCGTTCTCCTCCTCTCTTTATGACAACGAGTGTCTGGTGTGTAAAGGCATCCTGATACTGTAGATTAGCACGGAGGTGCTGATTGGCTCAAACTCTTCCTCAGAGCGCCATATTTAAACTCCCCAATTGCTCTGCTTTTGTGTGGCTCATTAGTGAGCACTGTAGTTGATCCCCCCAGTGAAACAGAGGCTCATCTGCCTGCATTCCTTCTGCTATCTGCTTGAGAGCAGTACCAGACAAAACTGCGTATTCCAAGTGTAGCATCCAGGTCTCCCCCCGTGATGGAAGAGGTTAGGAAGACATCTGATCCTCCAAGAAACAAGGAACCTTGTATGAAGCCTCTGAAGTCCTCGCTCGTCCCGCAGGGTTGTCTGCCTGAGCCCACCGAGCAGAAAGATGAAGAAGCATCCCATCTCCTCAGATAGTTGAAGATTAGAATCCTCTCATCTCGAACGGCCTCGTGCCTCCTTGCCCGTGGATGGGGGTGCCCTCTGCAGCCGGAGAGTGTGACCCTCTCTCTCTGACCCTTGGCCTTCAGAGCTGTCCTAGTTATTGGGGTAACACTTGATAGGGATGTTTTCCTGAGTGCAGACAACTCAAGGTAATGGATTAGCACATTATCATTTAATTACAAAAATAGGATAGGCCCCTCAGAATTAGTTGGGAGCCTTCCTAACACATGCACATGCATAAATGTAAGGTTTGTGTTAGTCATTTAACATGCAAGAATCATATACTCATCAGTCCAAAGCAGAGAAATGTTATTTTAAGTTAAAGGTGAGCTAGTCCCTGTGGATATCACCCCTTCTCAATGATTCTAAATGTTATATTAATTCACCATTTACCGTTTGATAGAAGATTAGTTTATCAGAAATATTTTCCTCTTCCATAAAACATAGGTTTGAGAAATAAATGTTCCAATATAAAATCAATTACTCAATATAATTGACTCTTCCCTCCCCTTTCTTACATATGTCTCATATGAAATAATAACTTGGGAGTCTATTTAAGCATGGTGTAATCTATTACTCGAGAAGACTCAGTATCACCTGTGTGCAGCTTACAAAAAAACAAACAATTGTGAGAAACATATATTATGCAGGAAATGCATACCTTTGTTAAAAAAACAAAGCATATCTGATTTGGGAGGAAAAGCTTCTTCCCCTTAACATCTGAGTTACCACTGAAGGCATAGCATAAATGGAATTGGGTGTCTGAGGGTGTTATTACTGAGGAATGTCAAACACATTCAAAACCTTACATTTGAAAACAGGTTTGCATTCCTCCACTTAAAATGACGTTATCATTGGAAACAATAAAAGCTAATTGTTTTGATGTAGAATCTATCAATTGAATCGTTAGAGCAGAACAGAATGGTCGTATTGTAGCCTGAGTACTGTGCAGCCTTTAGTTTTACCAGGTGGAAACATTGTCCATATAATGTGAATACATGTAGAACTAGACATTAAGAGGCCCCTGACATTAGGCCTATTTTAAAAAATAGTAGGGGCTTTTAACAGCTTGCCAACCTACAGGCATCGTCTGCATAGCAGTATGAATAGCCTTAAAAAAACAACCCACTCTGCGGTAACGAGAGTCATATTTCTGAACCAAATGCCCTAAATTAAGCCGTTAGTCCCATCTGACTGACCCAAGGGTTGGTGCTGGTGTGACAAGGGAGGCTTCCAGGTGTTCAAAGCAGATGTCAAGCTTTCAGTTCATGGCTTGGTGGGGGGGGGGGCCCACGTGAGACAGTATTGTTCAGTTTGAGGAGCGGCATTGTCTCTGGAAGCAGGGAATGCTGTCCATTCTCGGACCAGACCATTAATGTCATTTCATGTAGAGCAGCCATAGCATCTCTGTGACTGCACTCAGCCGGACTGTCAGAACTGGGTGATTCTTAGTGAAATCGTCCAAGGCCATAGACAGAATGGAACCACGTACCAACAAAAGGGACACAAGGTCATCAATGTCTCTCTTTACCATTGGCCTAATTGCACAACAAATTAGTGGGAAAAATGTGGAGCACTAATCCATCATATGAAATGTTGAGTTAATCTAAATAATTCCTTATGGGTTGAAATCAAATTAACATTAGAACTAAAGTCAGTCATAATTGGACTTTGCACGAATCCGAATCTAAGCAATACACCATTTCCCCAGCTCTGTAATGAAAAGGATAACCAGATTAGGTACATTACAGGAGTGTTCCACACCCAAACATGCACACTTATCTTATTCTAGTAGAGATTAGAGGACAAGGTCTAATGTTGTGAACAAAATGATTAAATCAAAGTTATTTTGTTTATTATATGTTATGTACCACATTTAATTTAATAATTAA